GATCTTTGTCAGGCGAAGTCGGTATCGATGTCCCCGCCACACGCCCAGCCTTGTCCAGCAGTGGTTGGGGGCCAGGGCGGTGCAGATGCGGGTCGACAGGGATGCGGGCGAAGGACGAGGAGACGCAATCGGCCGCATCCCTGGCCGGTGCATGGCTAAAATCTCTAGTTTGGTTTTGGTGAATTGATGAAACCCTAAGTGCTAACCTAGTTTATCAAGTGATCATGAGATAGGTGGCACATTCCAAGTGGTGAAGCAAATGAAGATCATGACATGATGATGGCGATGCCATGGTGATGATCAAGTGCTTGGACTTGAAAAGAAGAAAGAGAAAAACAAAAGGCTCAAGACAAAGGTATAAATGGTAGGAGCCATTTTGTTTCGGTGATCAAGACACTTAGCGAGTGTGATCACATTTAGGTTTGATAGCCGTACTATTAAGAGGGGTGAAACTCGTATCGAAATGCGGTTATCAAAGTGCCACTAGATGCTCTACCTCATTGCATATGCATTTAGGATCTAGTGGAGTGCTAACACCCTTGAAAATGTTTGTGAAAATATGCTAACACATGTGCACAAGGTGATATACTTGGTGGTTGGCACATTTGAGCAAGGGTTAGAAACTTCACCGGCAGAGTGTCCGCCCGTAGAGTGCGGACAGTCCAACGGTGCCACCAGCGCCCTATATAGAAAAGACAGGGGCTCACAGAGTGGACCAGACACTGGCCTCAACTAGACTGGCGCATCCGGTCAGTAGAAGCAGTGAAAACGCTGGCGTCGGTCTTCGACCGGACGCTGGGTCACTCCGTGATCGAACGCTGAGTAGGTGCGTTCGGTCCTGCTAACATGGCAGTGCACAGAGGAGATAGTGTGTGACAGTACGCTGGGTGGGTCCGGTTGGGCTTGATCGGACGCGTCTGGTCACGAGTGGAGGCTTACTGGAAATGACCGGATGCTGGGGTCCTGCGTCCGGTCATGATCTAACTGACGCTTCCGGTCGCAGCTGGAACCTTACTGGAAGTGAGCGGACGCTGGGGTCCTACGTCCAGTTGTGGCACTGTGCTGCGTCTGGTCATCACTTGACCGTTGGGATCGGGCACTCAGTATTTGAAGAGAGGGATGACGCAACAGCCATCTGTTGACCGGACACTAGCAGGGTGCGTCCGGACACCCCGAGCAGTGCCCAATGAAGGAGTACAATGGCTCTATTTCATGGGGGGCTTCTATTTAGGCCCCATGGCTAGCTCAAGCTCATACTCTTGGCCATTTGCATTGACATAGCAACCTTATGAGCTTAGCCAAAGCCCTCCCACTCATCTCCATCATTGATTCATCATCTTTGTGAGATTGAGAGTGAATCCAAGTGCATTGCTTGAGTGTTTTCATCTAGAGGCACTTTGTGTTCGTGTTTCGCTATGGGATTCACTTGTTACTCTTAGTGGTTGCCGCCACATAGATGGCTTGGAGCAGCGAGGATCATTGAGCGGAGATTGGTGATTGTCTCTGGCTCCGATCGTGGTGATTGTGAGGGGTTCTTGACCATTCCCCGGCGGAGAGCCAAAAGGTACTCTAGTGAATTGCTCGTGGCTTGTGTGATCCTCATCTTGTGTTGGTTGTGCGGCACCCTATTGAGGGTTTGGCGTGTGATGCCAATTAGCGCGTGAACCTCCAAGTGAGTGAATCGCCACAACGAGGACTAGCTTGTCGGCAAGCAAGTGAACCTCGGTAAAAAATCATTGTGTCATCATTTGATTCTGAGGTGATCGGTCTTCATTGGTATTCGTCCTTGTGATTGATTGGTTCACTCCTCGACATGGCGGTATAACTATCTTGCTCTCTCTCTCTCTTTACATTATCGCAAACTAGTTGTCAAGCTCTTTAGTGTAGCTAGTTGTGAGAGATTGTTAGTTTGGTTAGTGTGGCTCTTTAGTTAGCTTTTGAGAGCACACTAACTTAGTGTAGTGCCATAGCCATTGTGTGGTTAGAGACAATAGAAACTAGAATTGTGCTAGGTGGCTTGCATTTTTGGTAGGCTAGCGCAATATTTGCTTCGCCTCATAATTGTCTAACCGGTTTGTTAAGTATTGTTGTAGAAATTTTAATAGGCTATTCACCCCCCCCTCTAGCCATTAGGACCTTTCAACGGCCTGCCTGCCTGACCTGTGGATGGTCGCGTCCCCGTCCACCAACGCCTTGGACGTCGCGGATGGGTCTCTGCCCCCAACGCTGATGGGTGGCGTGAGATTCTACAACGGCAGGACACACGACCTGTGGCCGCCTCGACCGAGATGCAGCTTCCGCAAGCCCGAAAGATCCCGACAAAGCTACACGGTAGATGTTTTAACTGCCTTTCCTACTCACACTGAGTAGCGACCTACCGGTTGCCACAGCATTGTCTACGCTGTCATGGCTACCGTCACCTCGCTAGGGACTGCAAGTGGCCCAGGCATGCCGCGGCGTCGACGTCGGAGGTAGGGGTGGTGGCTCATGGCCCTCCCTGCACGCGCCACATGGTGGCTATGACAGAGCCACGTAGGTGGCTGTGGGGGGCACCAACACCTTTTGTCGACGACGCCGGCGACGCCGAAGCAAGCTATCGAGAGAGATCTACATTGCCACGACTGGCAACGTTGCTACTTCTACTGCCGCACACTGCTCCCAAGAGTCTGATCCGCTCATGGTAGTGATGTGCGAGGGCGCTGGGCCTCCCATTTGGGTTGACCCGATGCTCGATGAGCTCGCTGCCTCACTTGTCGTCAATCGATCAGCGGGTGCTCCAGCGCTTGGGCGTCCGTCTCTGGAGGTTTAGGCATCGTTGGCAGACACCCGTTCGCCTCCATGGATGGTTCAGCTTAGCTTCACGGATGCTGAGGTGCCAGGGGTGGATGGTGACGATCGGCCACCTCCCTCTATGCCGATGTAGGACCGGCAACCGGATGACGATGATGCTTCTCCTTCGGCCCTCGCCAGGGAGTTTGCTAGGCGCCTCTCCGCCCCGCTGAAGACTCTCATCCTCAAGGCGCCACCTCGACGTCGAACCCGTCGCTCTCCGTCGTCGATCACCATCTGCCGTAGCACGCATCTGGCGGCAAAGTGTGCCTCTCGGGCCCCTAACGCCACCCTTCAAGCGCAGAAGGTGCTTGTGTCCAAGTGGGAACCCACCGCCTCAAAGCCGTCGGATAACCAGGTAGTGACAGACTTACAGCGGTCATTCCAGGGCCCGCTCGACTCCGCAAAAAGGGACGCACTTCATGCGCTTATGAAGTTCGACGTTGCGGGGTTTGAGTGTATGTTCGAGGAGGCTTGCTAGTCTCGTTGACACCGGCCCTATTGGTTGCACAACTTTCATGTAATGTAATTTAAGTTAGGTTTATTTGGGTCGTGTTGGCTTCCATCCTTCCATGATAATCTATGGATTACTTGGGGATGTTGTAACCAGTCAAACTCTGCTTCTGCTTAATGAAATACGTGTCACAAGGACACGCTCGCGAAAAAAGCCGAACTTCTCATGCTCCATTGTATTCCTTTTCTCGGAGATTGGCACACACATTGACACACACTAAGGGCATGTTCATTTAATCTCAAAGCCAAGAGGAATGAGAGGGATTGAAGGGGGATTAAATCTCTAAAATTCCTCTCAAACTCCGTTCAATCCCTTTGAATTTGAGAACAAACGAAAGGCCTAAGCTTCCCTTTTTTATGTGTCCTTGATCTCTGAGCGATTGCGATCTAAGGGTACACACTGGTTTAGAGCAAAAACATTAAACATCCAATCCGGTGAGTGGTGCAACACGTGCAATCAGATCCACCCGTGGCTATGGCCTGTTTCTAATTTTGATTATTGAGCCACACCGAGCTAGCTTGGTATATTAAGGAGCTAAACCAAGGCGAGCTAGGTCGATATCCACCTCTAGTGCGGCGTGTGGATCTCTAAGATGAATTGCTTCTAAACCCAAACATCCACAAGGGTCCTTCACACAGCATGAGGAGCTTACTCTGTCACCAACAAACACCAACGAAAAGTTAGCTTGGATTTGAAAATTGAAAAATAACAACAGGGATGTTGCCTTAAACCGATCACGGAGGTCTTCTAATGCAGAAAAAAATTAGGTGCACACAGTATGCACCAGCCTCTCATGCATACATCCTTAGCTGGGTTCCATGTGTCCCTACTTTATATTTAAATTTGGCTGATAAGGCATGACTGAAAGTATCGTTGGTTGATTTGTTGTAAGAAAAAAAATACTGTTCGTTAACTGAAAAAGTACGGCTTATAAGCAAATAGGACTAAGGGGTAACGTTGCCTTCGGTGTATCTATATGGGGCCACGTTTAGTTGGGCCGAATTGGCGCCGCCAAACGCACTGTAGCTACACTGTAGTTACAGTGTCGTTTTGTTTTTATTTGGTAATAATTGTTCAATCATTGACTAATTAAGTTTAAAATGTTCGTCTCGTAAAGTACAACCAAACTGTGCAATTAGTTTTTGATTTCGTTAACATTTAGTACTCCATGTATGTACCATAAGTTTAATGTGACGGAAAATTTTTTTTTTACATAGTGTCAAAATTGAGAATTTGGTGAAACTAAACAGAGCCTGGGTCTAACTATTTACGGATCAGCCCAAGTAAACAGAGTAAGAGCATAGATGTTTGTTTATTTTGTTCGTATACATGCGTCAGCTGGAGTGTATGCACGCAATCTAACGCACAGCAGCCTGTCTGTTCCCTGGCCACCTGTCCACCTCCATGCCACGCCCCACGTCCAAACCCGAACATCTGACCCAACGCGGCAACGCCAACGAACGAAACAAGAAGGGCCGCTCCCCCGCCGCCCAAACCTGGCGCATCCCATGGGACCAGCCCGCCGTGCCCTCCGCACATCCGCCAGCCGGCGCACGGCCGCTTAACCTTCCCGCTCCGCCCCGTCCCGCCCGGCCCTGCTCGCAGCCGGCGTCGGCATTCGGCACGCCTGCGACCGACCGGCGATCGGTCCGGCGGCATGGCGCGATCCATCGATTGCGCCTCCGACAGCTCGGTCAAGAACGTGGCGCTGGACACGCTGTTCCTCATCGTCCTCCAGGCGGCCGTCGTCATCGCGCTCGGCAAGTTCATACACCTCGGCCTCCGCCGCCACAACCTGCCCAGCGCCACCTCCCAGATCATCGTACGTACGCGTCATGCATGCACGAATACAACGCATTGATCGATTCTCGAGTTCATCGGGGCATTGCGAATCGAAAGCATGGATTCTGCTTCTGCTGTTAATAATTCGCGTTCGTTCGGTTTCCAGGCGGGGATCATCGTGGGAGCCTGGGCCTGCACGACGTGATCGTGCACGTCGACGTGGAGAATGCGGAGGACACCTACGGCCGCTACGTGTCGGAGGCGCGCATCTTCTACATGTTCTACGTCGGCCTGGAGGCGGACGTCGCGGCGCTGTGGAACGACATGCGCCGGGCCACCATCTTCACGTACGCGAGCGTCGCCACCTGCCTGCTCCTCGCGGCCTTCGTCTCCGGCGGCATGTACGGCAGCATGATGCACACCCCGGTGAGGTCGCCCGAGCTGCTGGCCGCGGTGCTCATGCTGTCCATCGCCGACACCGCCTCCGTCGACGTCTCGCGGATGGCCAGCGAGATGGGGCTCGCGGCCACGCCCAGCGGCCGCCTCGTCGTCGCCACGGCGATCGCGACCAACATCATCTGCATCGTCGGCGAGGGGGTGTTCTCCTGCATGAAGCTGGCATCCAGCAGGACCCCGGACTACAGCGCCCCGCAGCGGCTGGGGCTGGGCATCCTCGCGCTCGTCAAGGTGGGCATCGCCGTGTCGCTGCTCAGGCCGGTGGTGGCGTTCATCAACCGGCGCAACGCGGGGCGGCACCGCGTCGGCAACTGGGAGCTGGTGCTGCTACTCTTCGCCGTGTCGTGCATCGGCAACTTCCCGCAGCGCGTGGGGTTCGACGGGATGCCGGTGAGCCTCCTGCTGGGGCTTGCGTTCCCCAGGGAAGGCCCCGTGGCGAGGAGCATCATCGACACGCTGGCGTATCCGCTCCACGCCCTCGCGCTGCCCTTCTATTTCGGCGCCATGGGGATGCGGCTTAACTTCAGCGCCATGTCGGGCGCCATCCTGGTGCCGGCCATCCTCCTGACGCTGCTCGGCTTGATCGGCAAGTGCGCCGGCACCATGGGCGCCGCCAGGTTCCTCAAGATGCCGACCGCCGACGCTCTGCGCTTGGGCGTCCTGCTCAACATCAAAGGCCACGTCAACATGATCGACATGAGATTCGCCAGTTCCGAAGGGGTACGGTAATGCATGCTTGCGCCCCCCATGCTACGTGCACGTGTAAGACTGATGGATCTGAGCAAGACTGATGTGGCTGCGCACGCGTGCAGATCTGGGCGGAACAGGCGCTGATGGCGATGGTCGTCGGCAGCATGATCAGCACCATCATCGCGGGGCCGGTGTTCGCCGTGGTGTTCCGCAAGGAGAAAGAGGCGTACGAGTGCAGCCACCAGGCGCTGGAACACATGGCCACGGACCAGGAGCTGCGCATGCTCGCCTGCGTGCACGGCGCGCGCGGCACGCCGGGCATGCTCAGCCTGCTCGAGCTGCTGGCGAGCAAGCCCCGCGCGCAGCCCACCATCCACGTCCTCCACTTCTTCGACGTCGCGCGCAAGGACGACGCCCCCAGACAGTACCACCAGAGGGCCCAGGACAGCGAGCATAAGCACATGAGCCGCCGCAAGGACGCCACCACGCAGGTGAACTGGGCCGTCGACGTGTTCACCTGCGCCACCGGCCTCGTCATCCGCCAGATCGACGCCGGTGACCGCGGCAGCGCCGTGAACGCCAAGGCCATCCGACGCTGGACGGAGGACGTCCGCTCGGGCATCCTGCTGATTCCCTACCACAAGGAGCAGCACTACGACGGCACCATGGTCTGCCGGCGCGAGGACCGCCGCCAGCTCAACCTCAAGGTGCTAGAGGGCGCGCCGTGCACCACGGCCATTCTCGCCGACCGCCCGTTCCGGAGAAGCGGCACCAGCTTCCAGCTGCCAACCAAGATATCGACGAGCACGGAGGCCGCCGGGAACCAGGGCGACGAGAAGGTGACGACCCACGTCGCCGCCGTCTTCCTCGGCGGCCCGGACGACCGCGAGGCCGTTGCCCTCGCCTGCCGCCTCGCCAAGAACGAGTCCGTCAGACTGACAGTCGTCCGCTTCGTGCTCCGCGAAAGCACGGACGACCGCGTCGCGACGACGAGCGCCGACATCGACGGGGAGGTGTCCGTGGTCGTCGACGACCCGGACGAGGAGTGCGTGTCGGAGTTCCAGCGCGAGTACGTGGCGAAGGAGCGCGCGGCGTACGCGGAGAAAGCGGTGACGGGGCCCATGGACGTGGTGGAGGCACTGCGCGGGATGGCCGGCGCGTATGCGCTGGTGGTGGTGGGGCGTGGCGAGCGGCAGCCGGCGGAGCTGGTGGTAGGGCTGGAAGGGTGGGCGGAGTGCGCGGAGGTAGGCCCGGTCGGGGAGATCCTGGCCTCGGACGAGTCGCTGGAGATGGGCTCCGTGCTTGTCGTGCAGCAGAAGACCGTGCCCCCGTTCCACTTCGACTTTGCCGCCGCCAGCTCCGGCGAACTGACACCATGACACGGTGCGAAATGCACAAACTATCTCTCAAAGAAAAGAAAAAACATACCTGTTTATACGTAGATGTATACGTAAATAACTTGTAGAAGACTAGAAAAAAATTAAAATAATTGCATGTAAATGAACTATGATGAGATTCTATTCTGTCTTGTCTGCAAAGCTGCTATCTGATTGCATCTCGCCGCCGGAATTAACTAGAGCAGGTCGCTAGCTCGATTCAGCGTCGCGGGCTAGCAGCTACGACTACTTAACAACGGCTCGCGCGGCGCCGATGATCGCCACCCGCTCCACCTTGGCTTCGCCTCCTGGCATTGTCCTGCACCATGGCGCGCTCCGCCTCCGCGACGGCCATTGACCCTGCCATGGTTCTCTCTCACAAGTTCCCCGAGGTCCCACGGCTTTCGCTAGCTCTCCGTCCTCGATCACCGGACACTTCTGGCTTGACAAGCGCTGCTCTGTTCTGCAGGTCGCGTCCGCGTACGATGAGAGGTCGCCATCGCCCAGGATCTGCTCGATGGAACGTCCCAACGGCTGCTCGGAATGGCTGATGCATTTTTCACTTGGTTAGTGCAGGGATGTAGCGCTGTACGCGCTGGGGGTGGGAGCTTGCAATGCAGATGCAGCGGATGAGAAGGAGCTTCAGCTGGTGTACCACAGGGATGGGCAGTCTTCCATTAAGGTGCTCAAGATGAGTTGGTGGGGGTGTGTCCGCTTGATATTTTTTCCTTTTAACCATTGCATTGCATTCATCGGAGTGTTGTTCAAATCCTAATTCGGTAGGAGTAATTCCTTGTACCCAGCACCTGGTGCAAACTGATTTTGGATCATAGTCGCTTGATGTTTGTCAAAATTAACTCAACATGGAACGTGAATACTGTAGCTGGGTCAGGTCTACTTGGAGGTTACTACCCCTCCTGGAATTTTATATGGTACACACCATAAAAAAGCACTTCCTGTCGGTGGGAAATGTGGCCAACAAGTAAATATTTGTAGCTTTATCGTACGCTATGATCGGATGTGGCCTATCACGTGATGACACAGGATTTATACTGGTTCAGATAACGTGTCCTACATCCAGTTTCAGTCGGTCGATGACTTTATTCCTGAGTCCAGGAGCTCGAAGTTTGTTGTGAGGTTACAAACGAGTAAGAAATGAGAAGGGGATGTTACAGGCCCGGTCGAACTCAGAATCGAGTGGGAGAGAGTGATAGATGCTCAAACGTGCGTAAAGTATTGGAGCGTATGCTCTGTGTATCCGAGCTTATCAGCTGTTAAGAGCGTGTAGACTGTGTAGCTGTCGAGCTCTAGAGTTGTTGAGCTATGTAGTTGTCGAGTTCTAGAGCTGTTGAGCTGTGTAGCTGTCGAGTTCTAAAGCTATTGAGCTGTCGTGTCCTCGAGTCTTTAGAGGAGAGAGTGTATCCCCTTTTATAGATGAAGGGGATGGCCTTACAAGTCAAAGACAGAAAAGGAGAGAGTGTGTACGGGTGCTACCTAATCTTGTTGCCCACATCGTCGGGTATGACACACTATCACCCACCTTACTGTTCATGACATGCTGTACCTGGCAGGCTGCACAGTGTTCGCCCACATTACTGTTCATGACCTGGCAGGCTGCACAGTGTTCGCCTGGGACGGCAAACGACGGCGTCCACAATACTGTTTGTGCTCTGCCGCGTCTGGCAGGCTGTATTGTGTCCGTCTGACATGGCCTGACGGCACCATCCTGCAGGTGCGCAGGGCATGGCAGGGTACGGTCCCCGGTATTGCGGTTGACTTGAGCGCCTTACCTTATCTGCTCCGCCTGCTTCCCGGGCCCACACTGAGCAAGCATCCTGGCCGGTCGTTACCGGTCGGCCCCGACCGTGTCGGTCGAGAAAGAGAGGCGAGCAAAGGTCTGGTATATCATCGGTCAGAGGAACAGGGTCAGAGTCGGACTGTGGTTCCACCTCGGCCAGGCCTTTCAGTCGGGGCTCCGACAAGGTCTCCTGGTCGGAGGTGCCGATCGGGGACTGGATCATAGTCTCAGCCTGTCACTGTGTATCTGGGCCAGCCTAGATGCGCGTTGTCGCTGCGCCGCCTGCTGGGCCGAGTATTGTAGTGAAGCGGGTCCATTAGGGATCCTGGATTTATGAACCCGACAGGAGCCCCCGAGCCCCTTTGGAGCTTCTGTGAAGCCATGGAGGGGCTGTTGAGTTGCCGCTTTTGAGGGCGCACGAGAGTACGATGCTAAAAGATCTCTCGTAAGGAGAGAGCATCGTACATCTCGAACATGCCCCTATCTCGGATTCTGGATCAGAGGACGGAGAGAGGGAGGAGAGCATTATAGCGGGAGAACAAGGATCTTGGCTCCCTTGTTCCGCTTCATTCCCTAAGGTGCGGAGCAGTCCCGGGGCTGTTCACACACGCTTTGTGTGTTATTGTAAAAGCCTAGGGCTTGTGTCTTTAGCTTAATGAAAGCTTGTATTTGCTTTGTAATTCTTATGCCCATTGTGCCGTGGAGGCGGGCTGTTATTGGAACTTCGGTGTTTTTCCCCTTGGTTTGTTGTACTGCGTAAGGTAACCGAGTAGGATTTAGACGCCCAGCCTCTATGTGGAGGACTGGCAAAGGCCGCGGAGGCGAGCAGAGTGGATACGGACGCCCAGCCTCCGTGGGGAGGACTGGCGAAGGCCGTGGAGGCGCGCCAGAGGGATATTGGCACCCAGCCCATGAGGAGGGGACTGGCGAAGGCCACAGAGGCACGCTGTCTAGACATAGGCGCTCATCCCCTGAGGAGTAGACTCACTGGTAATCCATTTTCCACCGGGTGCGCGTGAGCGCACCCAGTGGGTGTAGCCCTTGAGCCTACGGCCAACTGGGGACTCGGTCGGAGGCTGAGCACCTTGGTCCTCTTTTTTGGGGTTGTGGACTCTTGTGTCTCTTCTGGTCAGGGTGTTCGCCCGTGTCCGTTCCGACCACAACGTGTGTGGTCGGTCGGGTTCCTAAGTCGGTATCTGGTGGCTCGAGCCCCCGAGTCACTAGGGGCCGGTCGGGGTCAGTCGAGTTTCATGCATCACCTCGTCCGTGGTTTCCGCAACCGGAGGAGTTGAGCTAACATCGCTTGCCTCGATGGCTCGAGTGACGCGACTCGGTGAGCTCACTAACGGGCATGTCCGAGTAGAATCCAGGTCCGTTGTTTGTAACGGGGTCAACATAGCATTCATGTGGCATTCCACTGCTCCTTAACCTACCTCCCAACAGATGTCGGAGCCGTTCCAGAGACCGACTCAGGTGGCCCGCTGGCCTCCCCTCGATCGAGATTCTGTGGGCATGGCTCGAGGTCAGGATCGAACGAGAAGATCGAGATGACCCTGTCCGCTTCTGAGCAGATCAAGTGAGGGCCGCTGGGGCTCATCTGCATTTTCTCCCCTAGCTCTGTTTGATGCGAGGTGGCCTCGAGCCCTTTGTGGGCCGGCCTTCGAACCCCGATCGGTCGCCGCTCATATCGAATGAGACGACTACCGCTTCGTGATGTGACGCGAAGCATTGTGATGCAACAATTGCATATGCAATGTCTGGATGTATGGGATGAATGTATGAATGCATGCATGAGAATGGATGAATGAATGCTCATGCACTGGAAAAGTAAAATGGGGGTTGGTAAAGTTACCTCGATGGTTGGAGTGACGGGTTCGGGGAGCTCCTATCGGATATGTCCGAGTGGAATTTGGGTTCGTCGTTCGTGACGGAGTTGGCATAACCTGCATTGGGCATCCCACAACTCCTTACCCATTTTTCGGCAACCACTCGAGCTGTTCAATCGACTTGGGTGACCGGCTGGCTTCTCCTCGATGAAGATTTTGTCGGTGGGCCCCTTCGAACCTTTCCTGGGAAAGCGGAGGGTTGTTTGCGTGTGGCTATGCCTCGTTTCCTTCACCCAACTTGCGCTAGTGGTAGGCCCCACCCAGGCCTCATCCCTCCAGCCAAGCGATGTTCCGTCACGTAGGCGTGTCCCGTCAGCCAGGCCACGTCCCGCCGCACATCCTTTCGCATTTAAATTGGGGGGAGGAGAGGGTTTTTTCTCCAGTCTCTTCGGCTTTCCTTCACCACCGCCACTTCCTCTTCCTTCTTATTGCTATGCACCTTCATGCGCTGCGGGGGTTTCTAGGAGAGAGGAGAGCAGAGCGAGGGAGAGGAAAAACTTATAGATTCGCTCGTAGATCCGTGGCGTGATGTCGAACTGGAGGCCTTCCAACGTGGATAAGGAGGTGCTGGCCGCCTTCACCGAGAAGGGACTGCTCCCATCGAAGGAAGTGGCGTATTGGAGGGCTCCCACATCGGGGGAGGTTGTTCGCAACCCCGGGCCAATGAGGTCGTCTCCTTCCTTGCCTTCCATGAGCACGGGCTCGGGTACCCCGCGCACTGGTTCCTGCGCTGGCTCCTCAACAAGTGGGGCCTGGAGTTGCAGCACCTCAACCCGATTGGGGTGCTGCACATCGCCGGCTTCGTCACTATCTATGAGGCCTTCCTCGGGATGGAGCCGCACGTGGACCTCTTCCGGTGGATCTTCAGCGGGCGGGCCCTGTCCGAGGGGAAACTGCCCAGAATCGCTCCGGTCGGTGGGTTCGCCCAACAGAAGTGGCCTAAGCCATCGGTCCCCTACCCAGCGTACTCCCCCAGTGACTCCAACTAGGGATGGCACGGTGAGTGGTTCTACATCAGGAACCCGACGGAGGCACCACTCCCGACGTTCACCAGGGAGAGGCCGGAGAGGAGGGAAAGCTGATCGTGGGGTCCTACCCATCAGCAGAACAAGCTAGAGATCATTGAGATGGAGCTTTGGAGGCTCGTGCGGCATGGCCTTGACGAGTTGCGGGTCTTCCATACCTTCTTCTGCCATCGGGTCACCCTGTTGGCGGAGAGAACGCGGCCGATGTGGGAATACTCTGGCCCGTTGGATCCCGACTGCACGTCGCCGGAGGAGCTGTCAAGGGACGAGATATGGAGTTATCTTGATCGGGTGCTGCAATTGGGGGATGATGAGTCCGTCAAAGGGACGCCCGGACCTCTCCATGCCGTGAAGCTATCTGATCTAGTATACTCCTTTCCCATGACCTTTTTTCTTTCTGTTTTGATCTTTAGATTGATTTTAAGCCTCCTGTTTCATAGGGGCTCGTGGGGTATAAATCCCGGCCGCATCTTCCAAGAGGGGTGGAAGGCGCTGCTCAGCAAGCCACCCAAAAGGAGGCCGCGCTTGCCAAGAAGAAGAAGAAACCGCAAAGGTCCAAAGGAGGTTTGAGAAGGAGAAGGAGATCAATTGACGGCTCCATGGCGGCGAGCACCGGGAGGAAGTGGAGGAGGAGCTCGAGTCTAAGGACCCCACGGAGTTGGGCGACGACGTAGGTTCCTCGAAGGATGAGGGAGATGTGGGTGCTACCGTGACCTTGGTGGAGCACCGCGCACCTGCAGTTGCGCGTGTCGATGATGGGCGTGTACGGTGACGCGTGGTGATGCTCCTGAGTCAAGGAATCACGCCGCAGGCGAGGATGCCACCCGTGAATAGGAGGCAAAGCGGGCGCGGTCGCCACTCCCTTCGGAGGCGTCGTCGGCTTCACAGCCCCCTGCTCCAAGTGTGGCGGAGCACGCCGGTCGGTCAGGGGGACATGATCGTTCCCCTATGTCTTTGGGGTCGACGCGTGTGC